ATTGTTGTGGCTGTATGTTTTTGTAAATTTCGAGGAAATGGGAGTGTAAAATTGAAGAAAAAAATCTAAAATCTCTAAAAAAGAGTTGCATTACGGGGGTGTTGTAATGCTTGGAAGTTTCAATATTGTCTTGTTAAAAAAGTGATATCGATTGTGTTTTTTTTTTTCAATATTTTTTTCCGTTATTAATTTAAGGAAACTGTGCAATCTAAATTTATTTTTATATAAAATAAAATTTGGTAAAAACTGAATAAACTATGGAAAAGAGTCAAGCGATAAGGAATGTCATTTATAGGTCAGTGGGAGAACGGAGAGAAGAGGGAAGGGTCCTTCTCTCCCTGTACGAGTAATACCTATTTCCAGTTTCAATAAGTATTTTAAACTTCTGCTGGCCCTCCCACAGATCGTATGTAGAGAGAAATTTACTTATAAGCACTCTATGGATTGAGAATCTCTATTGTATTTTTTATATTGACAGAAGACATTGTATAAAGTTTCTCCAAATTGAAAACTTTTAATTTCCAGGCCTCATGGCTTATGACTACATAGGATATAAATCATTCGATATAACCAATATCAAAAATGGGGAAATAGTTTTGGACTCCATGTCGAAATTCGTTTGGAATCGATCCATGTCCGTCTGCCTATCTGTCTGGTCGATTGTTTCTGGGAATATACACCTTTTGATATTTTCGTAAAACTTAGATCGATTTCGAATGAGGTCAACAAATGTCCTTCCTCCTTTTCGTAACGCCCGCAAAAAGCTCACAATTTTCAAAAAAAAAAAAAAAAATAAATAAAATAAAATAAAATATTACAAATCGGCATATACCTATTAGGCTTTTCAATGCGAAAATCGACAACACAGCCCCACAAAGGGTCAACATTTTGAATAAACAAAAATGTGGTTAAATTTTAAATGGTTCCCCTATTTATTTTAAATATCGCCACACTAAAAAGAGCTACTAATTTCTCAAAAAAAAAAATAAATAAATAAATAAATAAAATAAAATAAATAAATAAGTAAAATAAAAAATATTAATAATAAAACAAATATATTAAATAATAAAATAATTAATTAAAAATAATAATAAAAAACAAATCTTAGCAAAAAAAATTGAAGAAAGTACTCCATTGGCTTGAAATCTTGCACATCGGAAGACAAGAAGATATGATGCAGTGAAGACGGGATATATCGTCCCACTCCTTTTGATAGCTCCCCTACAAGTCAAGATTTTGAATAATAACCCAAAAATGTAATGTTTGTATCCGTTTTGTTTGTCAAATTTTGAAATCTCATTTGTTGACATTATTTCAAGGCCAACATTGAAAACTATCGGTTTGCTTTCTCTAGTACCTCCACGAAAAACGGAAAATATATATATTTTTACAAAAAACAAAAGAATCCAGTCATTCTAAATACAAATTAAGATATATGTTAATTCGCACTGGTACTTTCGAATAGGTTCTGTTATAGACAACCATTTATACATCTATAAATAGAATATAATCTCAAGGCCCTTTAGATACGCTTAATAACATTAGCAGATATTCTTTAGATAAAATAACTTTTGTAGATCTATGATCCCTAGGTCTTCTATAGATGGCGAGGATTTTCAATAAATATTTCATAAATATATAGATAACCAGTAAAGAAAGTCTTGAAGTCGGGCGGGGCCGACTTTATGATACCCTACACCACTTTGCTAACTTAGTAGAGCTTCGCATAACAATTACACGTTTTAATGGGAGAATTCAACATACACACTATAATTATAATCATAATTATATATAATTATATAATTATAATTTAAATATAATTATAATTTAATTTAATTTAAATATAATAATAATTTATATATAATTATAATTTAAAGTTCAAATTATAATTCAAAGTTCAAATCTTTTAAATTCGGACTTCTCCTGCCCATTTGGTGCACAATTAATTTGAAATCGGATAACGATATATATATGGGAGCTATAACCAAATCGGAACCGATTTCAACAAAATTTGGCAAAGATATTTCTGAGCTGTATTTGATATATTTCCCTGAATATCGCTGTTACAGAGTGCATATTACGGCTGTGGGTAAAAAATATAACAAATCGAATGAACAATATATATGGGAGTTGTAGCTATATCTGAACCGATCTTCACCAAATATGACATACTAGCTTCTATTCGTTCGTAAGTGCCAAATTCCATCCCATTCGGACAAATATTAGATGTTTGGTGCCCAATAAAACATAAGTCGATCGAAGTTTTATATGGGATCTATATCTAAAATTGAAAAAGCAAATCGGACGAAAATATATATGGGAGCTATATGTAAATTTTGACCGATTATCTCCAATTTCAATAGGGTTCGTCCTTGGGCCAAACAAATGATTTGTGCAAAATTTCATCTGGATAGGGCAATAAATGCGAACTGTACTTTGTTTACAAAAATACATGGACAGACGGACGGACATGCATAAATCAACTCAAAATGTGATTCTATGCAGATCATCAAAAGGAACTATGGGTCTATCTCGTTTCCTTTTGCCTGTTACAAACAAATACACAAAGACATAATACCCTGACCACCTTGTGGTGTAGGGTATAAAAATCCATACTAAAAGTTCCTTCTAAGCACTTTACCCTCTGGAAGAGAAATATCGATATAGGTCCACGATATCGTATAGCCGACATACAACGGTACCCATCGATATTTTGACGAGCTTAGGGACTTTATTCACCAGAGTTATTTCAAATTTCGTATTTAGAATTCCTAATGGGTACTACAGCCTATGACAGACAATTATCTATGCAGGTCCAGATCTTCGTATAGCTCCGATATAACGGTATATTCCTATATTCGGTATTTTGATGATTTTAGGTACATTATTCACCGGATTTTTTTTTCAAGTTTCGCATTTGAATAATGTAATGGCTTATGACAAAAGTTACCTATGCAGGTCCCCGCCGTCGTATAGACCCTAATATAACAGCTACATTCGGAATTTTTAAGATTTTAACGGAATTTTTACGGATTTTATTGTTTTTCAGAATTGCCAAATTCGTTCCAAATGGTGGAGGGTATTCAAATGACGGCCCGGACGAAACTTACAGCTTTTTTACTTGTTTCTCAATCTTAAGTTGAGAGTTCGAGAAAAAAAAATCATAAAAAATGCTTTTATAAATGTTAACTCACAAATACAGGATGAAGGTCAAAAAAATCTATATTCCGTACCGATACTAGTATCCCGGATCTACATAGCCTATATTGTTAATTTTCGTTTTTTTTTTCTTTTTTTATGAGTTTGTCCACCTCAAAATTCTAAAAATATTTATTTATAATTATTATTTTATTGTACTTTTTTGTTATTTTATTATTATTTATTATATTATTGTTGCAGTTATTATTTTATTATTATTATTTATATTAATACTATTGAATGGTATTAATTTTTATTACTTATTTTATAATAATTATTATACCATTATTTTTATTTTATCATTATAATTATTTTCTAATTATTATTACTTGTATTATCCTATATATAATTTACGTAGATATTTTTCAATAATAATATATAATAATAATAATATTTTCAATTATTACTTGTATTATCCTATATATAATTTACGTAGATATTTTTCAATAATTTTTTTACAAGTTTTGTCCATTTTGGAAAATACATGCATTCTTATATTATTATTATTTTTTCAATTATTATTATTTAATTTTTATTATTGTTTTTTTTTTATTTTTATTATTCAATAATTAATTGTATTATTTATTTTATTTTTATTATTAATTTTTCTTATTGACATTCTAATTTTGTAATAATTGTAACATTAATTTTTATATTATTATTTTATCGTTATTAGTTATTTATGTAATTATTATTATTTGGCTAATTTTTTTATTTTTTTTATTGTTAATTTTTAATTTGTATTTTCTCCAAATTTTCAAAAATTATCAAAATTATAAAAACGTTTTTTTTTTATATTTTTATTTTATTTGTGTTGTAATTATTATTTATATTATTATAATATTTATATATTATAATATAATATAAATAATATTAATACTATTAAATGGTATTTATTTTTATTACTTATTTTATAATTATTATTATACCATTATTATTATTTTATCATTACAATTATATTCTAATTATTATTATTTCTATTATCCTATATATAATTTACGTAGATATTTTTCAATATTTTTTTGCAAGGTTTGTTCATGTTGCAATTTATATATATTTTTATATTATTATTTTTAGTATTATTATTTTTCAATTATTTCTAATATTTAATTTTATTATTGTTTTTTTTTTTTATTTTTATTGTTCAATAATTAATTGAATTATTTATTCGATTTTTATTATTAATTTCCTTATTGATATTATTATTTTATTATTTAATTTCAATAAAATTTAAAATTTAATAAAATTTAAAATTTAAATTTAATAATTTTTATTATTAATGTAATTATTATTATTTGGCTCATTTCTTGCTAATTTTTTGTTTTTTTAATTTTTAAATTTTTAATTTGTATTTTCTCCATTTTTTTTAAAGTTAAAAATAAACAACTTAATTTTACAGCTCATTAATTTTGTGCTGAAATTATTCAAGCTCGCTAATTTTCAAAAAACAAACTAATTAAAAAATTCCCACAACGAAACAAAAATATGTATTGACAGAGTTAAAAATACAAGCTATTATCTCATTCATATGTGGAGTTTGTGTAAAAACTTCCGGGTCCTCTTAAATGGTCCCCACTTACAACTCTCGGTTTAAACATGTTTTTATTTTTCGCTTTTGCTTTGAAAACCATTCCAACATAATTCCCATATTGGCAAAGCATTACAAATGTTCCAACTTCAACTCCAATGGCAACTAAGCCGGTATCGAAAACCTTAGCCTTTGCCACCTTCTGACTGACACCATGTAACACCTAAATTATAATAAATGGCCTATAACTAAGCTATTGTTTGAGGCAACCAACCTTTATTTTCGGCTATTTTTTTCTGTGTTTCTTTTCCGAAACTTCAATATAATCCTCTTATGATTTTTGGGCTATGGTGACAGCCGAGACCGCATCGAACATATTAAGTAAATCCCAGATTTTATAAAAGTCGGCGAAATTTTCAATAAACATTTTTTTCAGACACTAACACACACTCTGCTACAGAGAGCATAAAACATTAGCAGCCGCCATGGCAGTTTGAACACAATTTTTGTTTTTTTTTTTTGTTGGTTTTTTTTTCTTCGTCTCCACTCAAACTTGGCTTAGAGCGGCCATTAATCTTTATTTTTGCATAAATTTTTTGTTTCGCTTTGTTTTAAATGTTGGACTTATATTTTTAGAAATCTTTTCTTATTAGATTTAATTCTTTTTTAACACAATTCGACCTCCAGGCTTTTGGTTTGCAGTTAATTTATTTAATTTTCAAAACACTTCTTCGAAAGAATTTGTAAACAACTTCAATTAAGTTTCCCGTAAAAGAAATTTGCCACACAAATAGAGAAACGCATGCGCACACAACGTACGTCTACATCCGAGCACAGTGTAACGTTAGTAACGAAGCATAAACACGAACTGAAGTTGAAAACATTCGTAGCATACAACTCAAGTCAAAATGTTTGTGACGTATCTCACACACGAAGAGAGCGTGGTGAGAGAGGGAGATATTCAATACAACCGCTATTATATGAGGGAGACGATCATTCGTCCATGGCTCACAACAATAACACAACTAAACAAACTCTCAGATACAATTGTTTGCGGTACGTTGAAGTATCTGCAATTGAGCCGCAATGCACACACATAAACACACGCGAGCACTCATGTTGTATGTACGCGGCAAATGTATCTGACAGAACGAGTTATGGCCAATGTTGCCAGAAAGCTTAGTGGTTTATTAAAAAGAGGGAAACGGAAATCAAAATATCGGACTTTCGATTGAGGTTTGCTGCTCATCTATGAGCAGAGGGAGACCTTCACTTCAGTAAATTGAGCCGCAATGCACCTTCAGAAGGAGACCTTCAGCTCATCTATGAGCAGAAGGAGACCTTCAGCTCATCTATGAGCAGAAGGAGACCTTCAGCTCATCTATGAGCAGAAGGAGGAGACCTTCAGCTCATCTATGAGCAGAAGCTCATCTATAAGCAGAAGGAGACCCTCAACTCATCTATGAGCAGAAGGAGACCTTCAACTCATCTATGAGCAGAAGGAGACCTTCAACTCATCTATGAGCAGAAGGAGACCTTCAGCTCATCTATAAGCAGAAGGAGACCTTCAACTCATCTATAAGCAGAAGGAGACCTTCAACTCATCTATAAGCAGAAGGAGACCTTCAACTCATCTATAAGCAGAAGGAGACCTTCAACTCATCTATGAGCAGAAGGAGACCTTCAGCTCATCTATGAGCAGAAGGAGACCTTCAGCTCATCTATGAGCAGAAGGAGACCTTCAGCTCATCTATGAGCAGAAGGAGACCTTCAGCTCATCTATGAGCAGAAGGAGACCTTCAGCTCATCTATGAGCAGAAGGAGACCTTCAGCTCATCTATGAGCAGAAGGAGACCTTTAGCTCACCAATGAGCAGAAGGAGCCCTTTAGCTCACCAATGAGCAGAAGGAGCCCTATTGCTCCTCGTTGAGCAGAAGGAGATCTTTAGCTCACCAATGAGCAGAAGGAGCCCTATTGCTCCTCGTTGAGCAGAAGGAGACCTTCACCTCATCTATGAGCAGAAGGAGACCTTCAGCTCTTCTATGAGCAGAAGGAGACCTTCAGCTCATCTATGAGCAGAAGGAGACCTTCAGCTCATCTATGAGCAGAAGGAGACCTTCAGCTCATCTATGAGCAGAAGGAGACCTTCAGCTCATCTATGAGCAGAAGGAGACCTTCAGCTCATCTATGAGCAGAAGGAGACCTTTAGCTCACCAATGAGCAGAAGGAGCCCTTTAGCTCACCAATGAGCAGAAGGAACCCCACTGCTCATCTATGAGCAGAAGGAGCCCTATTGCTCCTCGTTGAGCAGAAGGAGACCTTCAGCTCATCTATAAGCAGAAGGAGACCTTCAGCTCATCTATGAGCAGAAGGAGACTTTCAGCTCATCTATGAGCAGAAGGAGACCTTCAGCTCATCTATGAGCAGAAGGAGACCTTCAGCTCCTCGTTGAGCAGAAGGAGACCTTCAGCTCATCTATGAGCAGAAGGAGACCTATTGCTCCTCGTTGAGCAGAAGGAGACCTTCAGCTCATCTATGAGCAGAAGGAGACCTTCAGCTCATCTATGAGCAGAAGGAGACCTTCAGCTCATCTATGAGCAGAAGGAGACCTTCAGCTCATCTATGAGCAGAAGGAGACCTTCAGCTCATCTATGAGCAGAAGGAGACCTTCAGCTCATCTATGCGCAGAAAGAGCCGCACTGCTCGTCTATGAGCGGAAGGAGCCCTACTGCTCATCTGTGAGCAGAAGGAGCCCTACTGCTAGTCTGTGAGCAGAAGGCGTCCTACTGTTCATCTATGAGCAGAAGGCGTCCTAATGTTCATCTATGATCAGAAGGAGCCCTACTGCTCGTCTATGACCAGAAGGACATCTTCAGCTCATCTATGAGCCGAAGAAGACCTTCAGCTCATCTGTGAGCAGAAGGAGCCCTACTGCTCATCTACGAGCAGAAGGAGCCCTACTGCTCATCTACGAGCAGAAGGAGCCCTACTGCTCATAGATGTGCAGGATGAGACCTATTGTTCATAAATGAGCAGAAGGAGCCCTATTGTTCATATATGGGCAGTAGGAGGCCTACTGTTCATATATCTGCAGTAAGAGACCTCCTGTTCATATATGGACAGAAGGAGTCCTTCAACTTATCTGTAATCGGAATCGGTCCTTCTGTTCGTCCGTGAGTACTTCTGTTCGATCAGAAGGTTCCCTCCTCGTCGAGAAATACCTACTCACCCATGAACAGATACAGTGCGTCTTCTCATCGGTCATTTATCTCGTCCTGATCAGAGGACCAGCATTTTACCATTTTTTATTATATTTAGTTGCCATAGGAAAGACCATCCATGTCTGTGGGTCAGATATTTGTCCCATATAGTTTAGTTTGTCGTCAATCTGGCAGCCCTTGGTCTCAGAAGTAAACAACATTCATTTATCTCACGCTCTTCAACAGTTCTCTACTGTTTTACTCCGCCAAGAGAGGGAAACAAAGAAACAAAGAGAGAGAGAACCAAAAGTTTGTTTACTCTCAGTATGAGTGTGTTTTTCTCTTTAAGTATGAGAGATCGCATACAAAAACTACTAACGGGCGCATAAGTAGTGACGTAGTACATATGATCCGATGGTATACGTAACAAACTTGTATTGAAGTGGAAGGATGGATGGATGGATTGATCGGGCGGTCGGTCGATCGGTAGGTAGGTAGTTAACTCCGTACACACATGAATACATATCGCTGTATGAAGATCGCGCGAGTACGTTGCTGCCTGTTGTGTTTGTTTTTATTGTTTTGTGGTATCCACAAAAGAGTTAGCGTGAGTGTATTTACATCTCGACGAGCTATCTTGCCAGTCAGCTATCCATCACGCCACCGACCGATCGTCTGAATGACGGACTGACTGACTGCCTGCCTGATTGTCTTACTGACTTTGCTGGCCGTACTCTGTGTCCGTCCGTCTTTATCCCATCCAATGTGCTTACGTTTTTGGTAAGGTCGTTCAGCATCATTGTACTGTTGTGGTTGTTGTTTTTGGAACCTCCGATCGTGTACCTCCACACAGCCTGGTGCTACTCTCTTTGCTTTTTGTGACGATCGCTAACAAACATCGTCATAATGATGATCTGAATGTTAAAGTGGTTGTCGGTTAAATGATGATCGTTGCTTGTTCTTGTTTTCTTTCGGAGAGGGGGGGGGGGGGGGAGGGGTTTTGGTGAGGTCTGATTGCTGGTTGTGTTTGTTGTTGTTGGTGTGCTGGTCGTGGTAATGCTATTATGCCTGAGATAGTAGAGCAGAGCGATTGGTGTTGACAAAACGTTCGATTGAGACCGGTTAATGTTGCTTTTTTGTTGTTGTTGCTGCTAAATTGGTGAAAATATTCTACAATAAAGAGTACCAAGCAAAATGGTTTGGCCAAGTTATTGCAGGTCAAGTTCGGTCAAATGAATTGCAGACAAACATTTCAGGAATGGCTGATGTTATTGTGGGGGTTTTTTTGGCGACCAATAATAAGTTTTGGTATTAAAAACTTTGGAGATAAGACCATAGGGGACCTAAAAGGACATGGGAGACCTATAGAGAGACTGTAGGAGGATGGAAAAAAATGTTTGATCTATATAAACGGGTAGTAAAATAGCTCACAGACTATCTGATCTAGAATCAACTCCTAGATTGGATTTTTGGAATTTCGTACGAAAAAGGGTACGAAAAGTACTAAAATGTACACAATATTGAATACACCGTATTAGACAAACGGAATGAGCTAGAATTCTGAGATTTGGAATGAGAGTTACTGATGGACTGCCATATATATGTACCAAAGGGTTTTTGGAAATTTGAACTTTAAGGTTATAAGGCTCTAAAATTGTACTAAACCCCTATAGTGGTACCGTTTGGAATTATGTGAACGGATAGAGCTAAAAACTTGAATATTGGTATGAGAATCAAGGTTGGAAAATTGGTTTGATATATGAAGGTGGTTTTTTGAAATGGGTACTAAGTTTGCGAACTGTGCCAAATGGTACGAAATTTGGTACATTTTGGTTTAGGACGAATGGAAGTAGCTGGAATTTGGCAATATTGTATTGGGGTCCCTTTGTGCACAAAAAGTACTAAATAGTACTATATTTGATGCAATTTGGTATTGTGCGAACAGGTAGTACTTGAAATCTGAAATTTGTCATTGGGGTCTCTGTTCATTTGTAGCCTGGACATAAGTACGATATTTTTACGATACGATTTTACGATAATTGTAATATAATTGTACGAAAAGTACTAAATGGTACCAAATTTGGTGGTGGGTGAAGGGATAGAGCTGGAATCCCGAAAATTGATATTGAGATCTCTGCTGGTATACAGAGGTGGGTTTGGAAATTGGTACTACAAGTGCTCAAAAAGTACTAAATAGTACTATATTTGGTACAATTTGATATTGGGTGAGGAGATAGTACTTGAAATCTGAAATTTGGTATTTGGGTTAGGGTTTATGTATAGCTGTGTTGAGATTAGGTGGTGTTGAAAATGCATCCTTTATTTATACGACGAGTACTAAATGGTACTAAATTTGGTAGTGGACGAGGGGATGGGGCTGCAATCCTTAAATTTGATATCGAGGTCTGTATTGATATTTGAAATTGAGATATGGAAGTAGTTTTGGAAATGGGTTCTACAAGTGCACAAAAAGTACTAAATAGTACAATATTTGGTACAATTTGGTATTATGTGAACAGATAGTGCTTGAAATCTGAAATTTAATATTAGGATCGCTGTTCACGAGTAGTCTGCACATATGGAGGTTGCTTCGGAAATGTGTACTATAATCGTACGAAAACTACAGAAAGGTACATTTTTTGGTATTG